TTACTGTTCCAATTTGGAGGTGAGAGTAGCATATTCTTTTTCCCTAACAAATATATTAAAGGCATACAGCTAAAAAGGAAAATGGTATGCAAAATTGTTGTGGATTGATACTTTCCCATTTTTTCTTCTCTACTGTTTTTGTTAGTGCATTCACTGATGATCAATATTATGTTTTCTTTCCATGTTTTGTTTAAATAAACACCATGCTGTTGTAAAAATATGGAGTCAGATGAAATTTAGCGACAACTAATATCCCCATGAGAAACAAAGGTGTTTATGGGATGTGGGAATGAGTCCATTTGCAATTTAGTACTAGTAACTGTACAGTAGCGCAACATTTAAAGCATACTTGATATGTTTAATAGACATATTAATAGTCTGAATTCTATTAACAGGGGCAGCTTTAATATACTGCATAACAAGTATGATAAGTTTGATGGATTTGTTGCTCACTTGTCAAGTAAAGCATGCAAAAAGGTGCATGATGAGGCCCATTGGTTTCAACAAATTATCGACTTCAAAATGTTTCTGAAATCTGATCTGCTGCCAAAGACTTTTGCAATCGAGGAGCCCAGTGATGATAATATTGGGCTATACTTTTTCCCAGAAAGCACAAGGTTATAGAGTCTTACCAACTTCATGTCTTGTTGCATAAGATTTTTGAGGTCTTTCTAATTTTGGGTACCTTGCTCTACAGATATGAAAGAGTTTTTGACTATCTGGTTGACGAGATGATGCGCCAAGGGCTTGCCTTGAGTGCCTTCATGAAAAATGCTGAGCTTTTGGTCTTTACTTCAATGGAACTGCAGCCACATTATCGCAGTGAGTCCTACTCGATCCGAATTGCTAGATTTCCTATATGTAAACCTTATCTGTTTTCCATTAGGGGCACTATTTTCCCAAAATTTTCTGCTGTCTGCTGGGGCAATGCCAAACTACTAGATATAAATTTTGTGCAGGGTTCCATGGAAAACATTATCTGTGGGGTGTGTTTAGAGAAAAGCAGGATTCCTAGCTGTGATGCCTTTGTATTCAGATTCTTCATATCAGGTGGGCACCAAAAGGGCAACAGTGCTGTCTGTCTAGCCCTTCTAAAAATTTGTAGTAACTTCATACCTGGGGAAGTTTTAGCATTTTTTTTTTTTTTTTTTTTGGGTTTTGCATTTTGTAGTGTACCTTATCATAAACGATCTCATATATACACTATGTATCCCATTCCCAACTTGTCTTTGCTTGAATTCTTCTTAAAGATGATTAGACTTGAAGTCACAAAATATCAGTGCCCGGGTCTAGTTATATTTTGTAACCCAATTTAGTGTTAGCTAGTGATGTGTTATAACTAAACTAGTTGATTCCTGTTTTTTTTTTTTTTTTTTTTCTTACACATTTTACTACGGAGTATTATTTTTTAAATTTATTTTGATGATTATAGATTTTATTGAAGATCGTATGCCAATTAATGGTCCTGTTTGGTAACATAGTTAGTTTATCAGTCAATTTTAGTTTATTGATTAAACAATAAATATAAGTGTTAATTAGTTTTTTATAACATCTTATTGTTCTAAAATTTTAAAATTCAGAAAGTTGTTCAAAACAGCTTTTTGAGTAAGTCATTTTGCATGTAATAATTAATTAATAGTTAATTTACCGAGTATTTTTCTACAATCAACTAATGCTATCAACTAGTTAAACCACTAACCCAATTAACTATTAACTATCAGTTAACAGTTATTTACTGAACATCTCAATTTATTTTAAAAAAATAAAATTAGGTGGTACTTTTTGGGGCTTTTGTATTCTATTATCATATTTGTACTCATTATTATGTGTGTTTTTTTATTTTTGTTATTCTATTATTGGATTCAAATTCTTTTGTGAGTATAAAATTCATTACCTTTCTCCCGTTCTCTATTTTTTAACAATGGAATCAAAAATGAAAAAGAAAAGAAAAAACTCATTGTCATTCATTCAATTTTAATTAATTATTTTTGTATATTTTATTATACTTGGTCCTTATTTTAGTTGGATAGAATCCTATTTTCTTTGTATTGTTGTTAATTACTATTCGTACACTAGATGGGAATACATGGCTCTTGCTTTAAATTATCACTCTCACACCCATTTGAAGACCCTACTTTGAATAATAAATCGAGTAAATACCCAAAATGGTCCCTCGACTATAGCTAAATTCACAAATTGGTCCTCGACTTTCAATTTCAACCAATTAAGTCCTTAACTTTGCAATTTTAACACAATTTGGTCCTATGTCTATTTGACCGTTTGTTGACTGTGATTTTTGAGGATATATATATATAATTTCATGGTCCATCGTCAGGTTTTTAAGGTTCCGGTTGCATTTCCAGACTACACTGTTACATTTGAATCCACTGTCAAAAGCAATCTACCAAATCCGGTCACCTTTCTTCATCCTCCCTTTGGATTCAATGTAGTTGAGTTCGTACCAGAGCGAAGAAGACGACGTGTTTCTGAACCGGTGCAACGTCATCCTGGAGGCCTCCACGTGCTCCGACGAGAGCTGAAGGTTCTTCTGGAGATCGTCGATCACGGTCAACAAATTGTCAAATAGATGGAGGACCAAATCGTGTCAAAATTGCAAAGTTAAGGACTTAATTGGTTGAAATTGAAAGTCGAGGACCAATTTGTGAATTTAGCTATAGTCGAGGGACCATTTTAGGTATTTACTCTAATAAATCTAAAGAGAAAATTTCAATTTTGGTCACACGACTATAGGGGCCTTGTTAATTTTAGCACCTAACTTTTAAAAGTATCAATTTAGTACCTTGAGTATGTAATTTTTCTCAATTTTGGTCACTCCGGTCAATTTATCGATCAAATTTGACCGGAAAAATTAAATCCAACTTTTAGGCACAAATCTAAGGGGCAAAATAGTCTTTTCCTGATCTGCGCTCTCCTCATCTTCCTCACGCTCCTCCTCTTCACTCTCTGCTTCGACCCCGCCGTCGTCAACTCCCCCCACCTCCCTCCCAGAAGACATCTCTCTTCTCCTCCCTCTCCGCCCTCCTCCCACAATGCCGTTAACCTATCCTTCCCCCATGCATTGCAAGGAATGGGCTCGCTTTACAACAGAGGCACCAGAGCCATGAACGACCTCATTGTCGCTCACGCCGTCGAGAATCTCACTCCACTCGAGCTTAAGCTCTTTCTACGCCTCTTCTTCACCTCCGAGCTCTCCTCCAAGTCGGATATTTTTCTCATTTTCCGATCAAAGTCGCCGGCTTTCGACCGGGTCGTCGCCGAGGAGAACGACTCGTTCTTGGTCCGGTCAATTAGGAGCAGATCAGGAAAAGACTATTTTGTCCCTCAGATTTGTGCCTAAAAGTTGGATTTAATTTTTCCGGTCAAATTTGACCGATAAATTGGCCGGAGTGACCAAAATTAAGAAAAATTACATACTCAAGGTACTAAATTGATACTTTTGAAAGTTAAGTGCTGAAATTAACAAGGCCCCTATAGTCGTGTGACCAAAATTGAAATTTTCTCTAAATCTAAATTTTGGGACTTAAGAATTCATGAGGTCCTAGATCTCCATAAAGTAGAATTGCTTTTGAAGTTAGTTCGTTTGTGTAGATTCTCTTCGCGTAATCTCTAGGAGGATTAGCAGAAATTCCATGCATAATAGCATGAGGGTGTATGTTGCACATCAAATTCTTCTTTATTTCCCTTTAGTGCTACGAGATAATTAATATTCCTAAAAGAGATGTCCTTTTGAAAAATAATTTGTGCAAGTCATTTTTTAGATTTTCTCATGTTTGAATGTTCAGAGAAAATGAAGTTAAATGAAAATATTTATTCTAGTCAACGGAAAAATGGTCTAATTTGACAGAAAATGTCATTTTAGATTTTTAGTTGAAAGACATTTTTCGAATTCTATTATTTTCTTATTTCTCTCTTATCTCGCTCTCATTTCTCTTCAAGCTAATTTCTTGATAATTATTACTACCATCACCACCACAAACCTCCAACACCACCACTACCACCACCGCTTCCACCACCATCACTTCCACCACACTAACACTATCACTACAACCACCACACCACAACTGTCACCACCACCGCTACTACCTCCACTGTCGTCACCACCACCACACCAACACTACTACCGCCACCACCACCACACCATAACTACTTCCACCGTCGCCGCCACCACCACTACACCACTTATTATTATTATTATTATTATTATTATTATTATTATTATTATTATTATTATACAAATAATATGTTCATTTTCAGCAAAATGAACCCAAAAAAAGTGATTTCTTAACTTTCAGCCAAACAGAAAAAAAAAGATAATTTTTTGACCAAACATCATAAAATTAAAATATTTTCAAAAAATGAGTCATTTTCTAAAAATCATTTTTCAAAAAATATTTTTCAAGTTTTCAAACAAACTCTTACATGATTTTGATATTAGAATGACGAGTCAATGTTAATTCTAATCATGTACCAATAACGTGGTATGGAGACCTTTACAATGTTGATGTAGGACTAGAAAATGAAATTTGTAAAAGTCATTTCTGAAAATGGAGACCTTTACAATATAATGTCGACGTAGGACTAGAAAATGAAATTTGTAATGGAACCTTCCAAATTATATTCTCAACTTTTGATGTTAACATTTTTCTAGAGACTCACAAGATGAAGATAACTTATCATCCTTTGTCACATCAGGGAGTAAAAGTGAGTGAGTACTGAGTAGAGATAGAGAATCCATGTAGTAAAACTAGTAAAAGAAAATACTACAACTAAAGAATTGTAAAAGAATCCATTGGTACAATGTAGTTTGGTTGTAAAAGAATTGAAATTCAATGAAAGCTGAAATTACATTGTTTGGTTGGAGGGAATTGCAATTCCGCTGAATTGCAATTCCCTCCTTTTGCTGAATTACAATTCATGCCTCCACCCTAGGAATTGCAATTCCATGCTTTGTGGAATTGCAATCTCATTAAAAATTACCAATTTACCCTCATTAGCATTATTATATTAATATTATATAAGGGCATTTTAGTATTTATTTACTTCTTCCCTCTCAATTCCTCATCACCCTATTTCTTCCTACCAAACAATGTAATTTAAATTCCCACTTTATTCTTTTCCCACCGAATTACAATTCTTTTCCCCCCTAATTCCTTCCTTCCAACTAAACGCCCCGTAAAGATAGGGAATCCATGTAGTATAATTTGTAAAGCCTTCTATGACTAAGGAAATGAAATGTGAGCATTACTTTATCGAAATCTATACCTCAGTGTACTTACTAGTACTATGACTCTAATGATTAAAGCAAAATTTCTTTTAAAACGTATTTTGGAAGGTAAGGCTGTATGAAGAGGTAAAGAAAAGGCAATGCTTTATTGTTGGATTGTTATCCCTAATTTATACGGTCTAGTCTACTTAGACAAGTATGAGAGGTCATTTGGTCTTATTAGTCAAGTTAGTATTAATTACTTGTGCCCTATTGGATCTTAGCTCCCAATCGAGGCAAAGTGAGTGGTACGGTTATCATTATTATTAAGGCTAAAAGTGATAATATATTTTTTTTTTTTTAAATTTTCACTCCAATGTCTCAACAAGTTACCAACTATGATTCCATGTTGTTAGTTGTGAGCTAGTTAAAAGTCTATAGAGCGAAAGAGCACAAGGGTGAGGATGGCCGAGGAGGATTGAATAGATTTTTATAAATTTTAAAAATCACACAAGTATGCGCCTTGAAGTCTTTTACTAGTCTTATCCAAATAAAATATTAACACAATGAGTTTTGGATTATTTAGCATATATTTGGTTTGAAAATGTTTGATGGATCGTAAGAAATGAGTAATAGAATGTAAGAGTATAATATATATATACATGCTAAAAGTAAAGTAGAGAGAGATTTTTATAATGGTCCAATGGGTGATATATTCCACATAATCTACTCTTCTCCTTATCATCAGGAAGGAAATCTACTAAGTGTACTTTTACACTGAATATACATAATGAATTCAATCCCATCGCGCAATTGCATATTGTCTTAGCTTTCTTCAGAAGAGTTGATCACAAAGTCATCATGTTACTTGGTGTCACCCTCTTCACAAGAATCTACCACGAGTCCTTTTGTTACTCAGATTTCAACCATTGTTTTTTTTCTAACAAGAATATGCATAACTCTAGGAATTGAGTGGTGTCTAATTATTAAAATACTTATTTAAAATTTAAGATATAAAACTACCAAATAAATAAAGTAAATCTCCTATTTAAATTAATAAAAATGCAACATTAGCGTAATATTTATTCAAACTCATCTAAACTAATAACATATAACTAAATATAATATTTATAATAAAATTAACCCTAAAACTTAATTTATTTATGC